TACTAACGATCAGATAATATGCGGACGACTCATGTGAAGCGTACACTTGAGAAGTACCGGTGACCGCTGTCCTACATCCTACACATTGTGCCCACGCTTATGCACTAATCTGTACATGGTCGTCCACTATGGCGCTCTTCCAGCCTTAGGCCCAGGAAAGATGTCCATTTTACTAGCTCGGACCATTACCCTTGGACCATTAGAAGCAAAGCTGAATTGCAGAAGAACTCCCACGCTATACCATTACCCATCAGAAGTTTACTTTAAATGAGTGATTAACGTGTCTTTAGTATTGTAAAGCACAATGGAGTGGCCCCCTCTAACTCCATTTTCATCTTTGCACACCCAGCCTTAATTTCTACATTTTCTCAATTAGCGTTATTCTGAGCAATATTTATGAAGCACAACATAGGGGGTGTAGCAGCAAGAGCGCCCCTTATTGTCGGGATCGGGAGGGGGGGGGCAATCCCGTCTCGAACCTCACCAAGCTCAAACAAGAGTTTCGATTCGCCGGTACGGGTGTCAGCTATTTAGCAATTCGCAAATGCAGTTGTCTAGAGAGATAAAAACACTGACTTTTCCTCCAAACAATTCACGTTAATAACTGTACAGGCCACATCGCATTCAATTGTTACTACGATTGAATGGAAGACGATTGCATGGCGCATACCAAAGAGTATGACTGATTGGAGCCGAATGTTTTATCATTTCACCTATCAAGTAATCACATGTTGAAAATGAGCTTATGTGTCGCCGAACGTGCTCTTCCAACATAAAAATAAGTAAAGCTCTTCAAAAATATATATTACAAAGCTGAAAAATAAGTGACTATATCAATTTGTAGCACCGATGACTAGAACCAAGCAGGACCCAAATGTAAAGCTCTTATAAAAGCCAACGCTGACTACCCGAAGCAGAGTTAAGCAAATGTAAAGCCAAAAATTCAGTGAAATCGAAGCAATCTACCACAAAACCAAATCTCATTGATCTCTGCCGTTGGTCACCATTAGAGATCTACTCTACGACCCCAGAGCTCTTGCACTTCGTCGGCCTTCTCTAGTTTTAGCGTTGCTGGCACGAAGGCCTAGAAAGAGCTAGTGGTTAATGCAATGATCACAAAGTTAGGTTATTCTCAGGGATCCCTTAGGAGCATAATTTTGGTACCTTTCTCAAACATGAAGTTATTTGGTGAGGTAAGTTAACTTGTGTTTCGTGGTGAAAAGCTTAAACGGAAGATGTTGCAGAATTGCGAACACACCCTAGCGCTCACAAAAGCGATAGCGGGTACTACACGATTCGAACTGTCACATTAGTTGCAAATGAAGCCATTTTTGTAGCTAGGAGCTGTATTACGACGACGTACTTATTTTATTGTAGTAGTAAAGAAGTCAAACTGTTAGGGATAGAGACTGGGCAAAAGAAAACCATAGAAGCCACTTTGAAAGCATTCTCAACTCAACCACCAAAAATCAACATCACAAAAATCGGCACTGCTTACTCTTCACTGCCCCCTTTTCATGTTGCACACAAAATCTCAAATTGGCTAGAAAACTGTCCCTGAAATTGATTGGCCTTCTGATCACGAATACCAGATTCGATCGTCGTTCACCTGGCTAACGGTAGCTTTGGGTTTTTAGCCAATTCAATTACCTAAACCGTTCCGATATCTGATCCACAGGGCTGCAAAAATATTATGATATTATATTTAAAATGACAACAGAGAGGCGCATTATCCCGCTAAAATGTTCCCATTGAATTGGTGGCGCTGGCACCAAGCGTTTTGGATCAATTCGTACTCAGGAGGTAAAACTGAATATGTACCTCGGGAAAAGGAATCAGCCAAAACTACCCGAGAGACGAATTTCGAGCTAACCATAAGTCAAGCTCCAACCTCGAAGAAAGGAACAGTGAAAGGTAAGAAGTGCCTAGCAGCCTGATGCTGACGAGCTGCAGCCCTACACATATCGTTCGCGTATTAGGTTTTATTATTTGTTAATATATATGTACGGTGGGGGCATCATATACATTTCAGTAAATGCATTCCCCCATGCTTGGGAAATTCTTGCACGAATTATTAACAGGTCCTTCCGTTTCTCTACCTGATTCCGTCTTTTTCGCTTCCTTGCTTCGTATAGCATACACACATTTCTGTCACACGCCCTACAGGAAGGTCGTTCAGGGTGTGCCAAGCTTTTTCAAAACGGTCTTTTGCATGATATAGGGCACATGCGGGAAACAGAACCATGGTTAATTTTTCCTGAACGGCCCTCTGAATACCAGAAAAGGGGGTCCCTAGTCACACCTTTTTCACCAGTTTTTCAATCAAAGTCTATTTGTAAGGGTTACTGACGGTCCCTTTTTCTTGCCCCCCTTCCCTAATCATGAATATGGTACTAATTATTCATGCTAACTCCATTTTGCGCGAATTTTGGAACGTCAACTCGAAATGCAAAAATTTGTCACCACGAGGAATCGAACTAGGGACCCCTTTTCTGGTATTCAGAGGGCCGTTCAGGAAAAATGAACCATGCTTCTGTGGTCCCATATGTGCCCCAATGTCATGCAAGAAACCATTTTGAAAAAGCTTGGCACACCCTGAACGACCTTTTTTTTGTAAGTACTCTCTCCATTATCGTCTTCCTCTTGCCCTGCCTGGTTAATATGCCATCGTAAATCTAACGTAAGTGATCCAGGAAAAGAATATTCTGTGATTGGGACAATGTTATTGGCAGCGGGACCCGATTCACAGCTTTGACAGCACATCCTTTTGCAAGATCCGTGCTCCATTGACAAAGTACTTAATATTTTAGGTCTACCTGCTTTTCTTATATTCATCAGTGATAAGCCATACAGTTAGCACTTTTATGCTCGAGAAGCTGATGGATGAAATATTCATAGAGAACACGACGCGACAAGCGCCGACTGGTCAGGTTTTGGATCATTCCTGAGAGAAGGCCTCTACCGTATGTAATGTATCATCATATGTGTAGCGTTTCCAAATATTCAACCATCAACCCTGCGAAGCAAAAGTAAGTTATGGTTTTGCATCGATCGGCCAGCCTAATTTTGTAAGTCGATCTTTGCAAATCTCTTATATTTTTTTTTCTGAAAAGCCGCGAGATCTGTTTAATGCTCCTGTAAACAAGCAACCAAATAACGTAGTGGGGTTGCTTCGAAGGGTTAATATCGGATCGTCAGTGAATTAGGGGGAACTTGGAAACTTCCAGAAGCACGCAAACCTTCTGTACTTTTCTACTAATTAATAAACAAAAAGCGTACCCTGAGTCTGACGGTGACCACTATTGGACTCTGATGTACTCCAAGGGAGAGCATGAACGTGTGCTGATAAAACTCCATCTGCGGTTCCTTCATGAGCTGGTTCAATGACATCGTAAATGCACCCAGCGATCGTCGTGTACCATCATCGATTGCTGAACATCGCACGACATTCAGAACTGCTACATACTGATATGAATAATATTAATTGCGTAAAAGAACTATTTCGCCGCACGATCAAACTATCTCAGTTGATCCTCCTCCACAGAGAAAAAACAACACTTCAACAATCGAAAGTCGAGGATCTCAATACAGGCAATGACGAATATGTAAGCTTGTTTTTTTTTTTTGTCTCTTAAAAGGATCTTTTGCGTATTTGAAAGCACATGGTCGGTCAAATTGAGGAGGCTATTCGCTCGAATAATGGAAAAACAACAAAGTAGACCGCCATGATAAAAAATAAGCCATAGAAACCACTGGCAATGTCAAACTCATCTCGTAAGGCCGACCGCGGAACGGCGGAGAAAAATATGGGGTAGGTTAAAAGTGGTACGATTCTTGTTTCTTCGCACCTAGTTAATTATGCCGCTCCGAGGTGCGAAGCAGCCCTAATTGAGTGGGACAACTCAGAGGTCATGATGCCACCTCCACATCCGTATTGAACTGACACCAAAAAGATGAAGCAGACATCGCGTATGCTGCGAATAAGGACAGTAGCAGCGGTCGCAGCGGTTCAGGCAAAGTCTTGGTGTCCTTGTCGGGCACTTTCACGTCGCGACACCGCCATGGCTCTTGTACTTAAAGACCAGCTACTGCTCACTGAGAGAAATGCTCTAGAGGATTGCGATCCCGTGCCTTGCGGGAAATGTTATGATAAAAGCCAAAAATCTCGTATGTAAATCTCAGTAATAGATAACTCAAAATCCAACAACAGGTTTTGCGAAAGAACCATAGAGAACAATGGCAGAAAAAACATTCTCGGGAAGCACACCGGCGGAACAACAAATTCTTCAAAGCAACGGTGGTAACACTTACCTCAAATTTGAGCTCCTGGCCCTCGGGATGCCTGACAAAGAACAGGAACTTTCGACTGATAGAGCGGGTTGACAGTTTTCACCTATAAAGGAGGCCGCTTGTAGTTAATTCTGGCCGTATATTCAAAAAAAGTTTTAGCCAGGGGTGGTGAGATAAATTGGTGAACACGACCCCTGAAGACAAGGCTGATACGACCCCGCTCCATCAGGTTTATGCAAACCTGTCCTCAACTGTGCTACTCCCATGCTCCTTGCATCCTACCTGAAACTAGGCCTACATATATCTACCCTGAAATGTCCGTGAAGGGGAGACGGGAGGGGTGGAGGTGCATCCTATAACAAAAACAGCAAAATTCCAAACTTTTCATTGTGAAGTTTCATAAGACTCCACAAAAACTTCCAAAAGGGACCCTCATCCATAACACTTGTATCAGGTGTAGGTAAGATAAGGTCTGTAGTGTAGCACAAACTTACTACCTTCACCTCCAACGGCTACTTCATCAAAACAATTTAGGAGACGTACCTTAACTGGAGTACGCTGTGCGTTCGCCCCGAGTGTCACTTCAACGAAATGGTGACGGTTCAAGTTTTGCCTTTGGGTACTGAAAACACAAGTTTTGAACAAGTCCAATGAATACATTCTTTAGATACTCACAGGTAGATCGGACACCGAATCGACGAAGACCATCAAAAGTGCCGGATGGATCGGTTTGTCAGCTTGGAGCCATTCAGCTTCCCACTGTTGCTTCTCCAGATGACTACGATCTTTCGACAAATTCATCCACGACGCCTTCAGATGCAGATCGCCATGCTTACATCCTTCCAGAGGGAACCACTGAATAGGGCAGTCAGGACATAAGCAAATTGAGAAAAGAGGAAGGGAACTGATTGGCTACTACTTAAGACTAAATTCAACGCTTTAGCCAGATGGCTCCGAAAAACTAAAATCTTAACATGAAGAGTGACGAGCTGCAGAACGCGCAGGAGCCCTTAGAGCTTTTGGACTCACTAGATAAAGAACGAATCGCATAAAAACAGAGGAATCCTACATTCAAGTTGTGAGGAGCTATAATTGGGAGACAAATTCGAATGTTTCAAATTGCAGATCCATGAAATTTTCAAGTTTCGCCTCAATCACACTTTCCTGAGCTCCAGCTACAACAGATGAAAACGATCTTCAGAAACTTAATAACTAGTTCCCATGTCAATCAACCCCTAAGAAGGGTACCTAGCTAAGTTTTGTATGTCGTACCGTCAATCTATTACCGAACGCGTCAACATAAAGCATGTGCCGCGAAACCAATGTCGTTGTCGAAACATTTGCCGAATGAGGCGAGCTTGAGCTTGAAAGTGCTCCGAAAACCCCGACATTCACCACATTTCCACGCTTCCCTTTAGCCTGAATATCCTTCAGGTCGATGCTCAAACGTCCGAGCTCCTCATCTTGACCCTGATCCTCATCGAATAGTTCTATCCTCAGTTTCTGTCCGTGAGCCTACAAACAGAAATTAAGGGAAGGCTGTGACCAGCAAAAAAAAACCGAAAATATTCGAGAAGATTATGCTACTCCAACGCTATTCAGTCGTTGCTGGAGCCCTATTCTTCGCGAAAATCGCATTCTTACAAGATGAGGTAAACCTCAGCTTTACCTGATCAACAACTGCCTCGAAGTACTCATTCCATACCGGATTCAAATCGTTGTCAATGGTACGAGTCTTCAAAAACTGTGATCCAACTGAAAATCATGCGCACGTATTGGAAGGATTCTAAGTGTTGAAAATGTAGACCTACCCTGGATTTCGCAGTACGGATCACTCTTTCCTTTACGGATAAAGGAAATGTCTCTATTCTCGAGGTTTTTCGCTTCGATAATTTTCAAACGAATCACACCCTGGAAGAAAACAAAATTGCAAATTGCGCTTAGAATAAGTTTGAGATTATGGGTATAACTCACGTCCGGCTCAGGGAAGAATAGTTTCGTGACATCAACATTTGGAGCCAATGGCACGACGATTTCATTGGGCAGAACACAAAGCGCGGCTACCTTAACAGATTATATAACCGCCGACTATTATCTACTGCAACTGCCAAATACTATACAGCAAAAAATTTCCCCGCAGCGTCTTCATTTTACGTAGAGGCGCAAACCTGTACACACTCTGCACACTGCCTTTCTTCCTTATGCCACCAACACCTCTCTTTAGGAGTATGCGTACTCACAAAAAGGTGACCGGTAGATGCTACAGAATTTACATTTCAGAACATCTCATCCCATCAAATAACTCGCATTTGAGGTTGGACTCGTTATGTTCCTATTGGCGGTTGGTTGGTCTCCACCCTTTCCATCCTGCCCTTTCCTTACATCCATGCCTCCAGCAAACACCGCAGCACCAGTGAATGACCGCAGACCTGAGCTCACTATTTTTACAGCCGTTGTAGTGTATACCACGCAACACGCTATTGCAAACAAAACATTATCGTTAGTCCTGCAGTTTAGCCGTTTTCGCGTTAGCGTTTGTCAAGGCCATCGGCTACCACATTACATCGTTTTTTGAATGGATAGGCATACACTCCAACACATATATGCTCCGACAAATAGACAAAGCAAGTCAACGGCTCATACGATAGAAAGCATTTTACCTGGGTTTCGTCACGTTAAAGACGAATTTCAGATTTTCTATCAAAGTAACTATTACCCCCCACCCTGAATAAGTTTATTGATGACACAATCAATACTCCTTTATTCCAAGAAATTTTCTCTCTCTGATGAAAGCAACAATCCCAAATGGGACGTGTCAAAGAATCTACTCTGTGAGTGGAATAGAGTAGCATCGAGTTCACAGACGTGCCGTTGTTCGCAGCATGGGGTATGCGATTTGACATCGGCCACGTAGGCTTATAGACCGTATCATTATTGGTGAGCTGAAGTGAGCCTAATGCACGAGATTACCTCTATGCACAACCCCTTGATACGCAGCGTGGATTACGACGCAGCGGGCCATTCAAATGCTGGTTAGTGCGAGCCATGGAGCAAACTAATCCAGAAAGCTCGTCCCGCCCTCCAAAGGAAAAAGAGGGAATACTATAAGATGGCTTGAGCTCTTTTTTTTTTCTATTTAACATGGTTCATTATTGCACTGCGTGTTACCGCCGCCGGGTATGATGTGCTTTGAAACAAATCTAGAAACGAGAAAAAACTTTGCGGAGCAGCGCTTTGTTCGTCAGATATGTACAAAAGCATTCTGTGAAAAAACAGTCTACCAACCTGACTATTCATAACACTTCGAATAGCATTCATCAGCCCAGGTAATTCAACCATTTCACCCATTCCGGTCAGGTTGAAATCAATTTTCTGAAACAATTAGTAGTTCTTGATCAAAGTAACTAATCAGTGAAAATAATCGATGAATCAAAACTGACCGGCATTTCGAAGGAAAGAGCCCGAAACACCTCCAACCATTGGTGGGTAGGGCAGCAATGGCTTCAGGACAGCCCGGAGCTTTCCAGAGAACTAAAAATAGAAGGAAATTCAACAGAAAATTGAATGGAAAACTTGTATGTATTGTATTTTAAGGGGCTTCAAAACAGTTCAGGTTGCACATGCACTGGGCGTTCGCGACGCGAAATGCATCGCAAAACAAAACGCATCGGCGCAGCCAGGCCTCACATTACACTTTTTTTATTGGTCTTTCTATTTCATTCTCATTTTTTTTTCTATTCTTTTTTCATCTTTCTATACATTTAGAGCATTCTACTGCATTAAAGGCACGGGTCGCGAACCAGATCTGTGGAGAAACTCTTTCATTAGTTGAGGTAGCATGGGTGGCGATACTGTCGCAACATAAAAGTGCGGAGGAAAGGAACAATGCTTGCATTTAGTCGACCGCTGCAACCGCTGCTATTACTGTCAATCGCAGCATATATGGTGTCTGCGCTTTTGCGTGCACTATGTGCTCCTTTGCGTTTTCCTTGTACTCGCAAAACTCTTTCTCTTAATCGTAGCGTTGACCACACGAGAAAACTTTCAGTGTTTTAATGGTGGTATTTGCTTATTTCTATAGTAAACTGCTTTAGACTTTTTGTCGCAATTTTCAAAGAATTAACACAAATTCAGTTGCAAGCCTTGGACCTTTAATGATCTCAGACTTTTTGTAGGGCTCGGTAACTTCTAAGTAATAGAGCAACGCGTTATGAATGTATGTGTGAACTAACTGATTAGGCAACGGCGCCTCATCTCACAATTTTAAACGTGTATTTCATGAACGTTGAACACACCTATGTGTTTTCTTAAATTCATGGAAAGGAGTTACTAAAAACGCTACTTGGCAGTAATTTGAGATGTAATATACAGGGGGGGGGGGCAATAAAAAAAGACGTTTTGTCTTCAGACTTAAATGAATTTGATCCACTCATTGCTCAGCTCAAAGCTTGGACCCTCCCAACTCAGACTTCATTTCATAAGAAAATCTTCATAGTGGCCATCTACGTGGGGACGGCATCAGAAAAGTTTGCCCTGGAAACATGGTGCTCTGGTCGAGCTCAATTGGGGTTCTCGACTGATCGTGTTACTGTTACGAAGGGCGGTTCCGAGGGGGTTTGCATAGTTAGAGCTAATGTCCCTAGGAAACTATCCCACGTTGAATCGATCCAAGAAATTATGTAAGAGCTTCAGGCTGAAGCAGTTACTGTAGGCCTCCCTGAGCTCGACGACGGTGACAGATGACGTCATATTCTGAAGACGGTGAGGGTAGTGAAGGAGGGCCTGCGTGTACTTATAGAGGGACATTTAGGGAATATTTTGCTGAGGAACTTCCGTCAACGACGGCAATCTCTGCGAAGAAAAAAGGCCGAAGTGCGACATGGGCAAAATGTCTTTTTTTTTGGCCCCCCTGTATATATAATCTCTCACGGTAAACTGGAAATTTTGATTGATAGGTGTGTACAATTTCTCCAGAAATGCACATTTTTATTAGCAACAACTCCAAATACTACCTCGAATATTATTCATGCCCACCAGCATAACATCCACAACACGATACAGTGAAGTCGGCATCACCTGCATACGCAACATCCATATCGACGATGATCCTATCTCGACCGACGTTTGTCGTGTAGACCTGAAACCAAATCCAGAAGTAGACAACCATAATAAGTAAGGTCAACATTCTCTCTTGAACTCTAAAACCTTACCTTGTTCCTCGATCCACACGGTATATGCAACCCATATCCATTTTGTGAATTTGAAATTCTTGAACACACTCGGCATTTGCGCCTAAATTGTCGTCCGTTGCAGCACAATCAATCGATATTTCATGAAGTTTAAAAGAATTCGCTTTTCCTTCTACCACTATCGCCTACATTGGAGAGGAAGGTACTAGAAAATTTGAAGGAAATATTCAACAATCATCATCATACCTATATCACTTTTCTTTGATGTTGAGAAAGCGAGACCTTCGCCGGGCGTGGTTCAGGCTTTGTCAAATAACGCAAGCAAAAGTGAAGAGAATTATGAAGTGTAAAAGTGTGACAGAATCGAGATTATGAACTGCCATCAAAGTGCCAAGTCACAACGGACCACCCCGCTACTGCACACATTAGTGATGTAACAATTGTGCAACCAGCTGAGTAAAAGTAGGATTTTGGTGTAAATTTTTATAGTAATTACGAGCAGATTCGATTGGAAATCCAGAAAAGCATTTCTTGTAGAAAGCAATCAAGTGGTAGATGATCTGGTAATCAGAAATAGAAATTTCACGTTCATTGCCGATAAATACTGTTCAAAACACCAAAAGTTATTTAGACTGTGCACCACAAGAACTGGGAAGGGTACCTTGACTTTGGGAATGGACAAAGTCGTCATAAATACTCTTGCATATTCGCCAACATACGGCCATAACTGATGGATAACCTGCAAGTAGTGTTTGAGCGAAATAACCTCACGGATGGTCTACAGAAGAGAAATCGCAGTGAGAATTGTCCCCTTATCTCTACTGTCCCACTAACTCAGTTGGAAGAATAGGAAACAAAGAGCCATGATATTGCGGAAACCGTGACATCGCACGGTCCTGTGGTTTCTCTCCATAAAGGCAGACGGTACGAAAACTGGCTGTTAAAGTAGCGAAATATGCCTACTGTAAATGAGGCCGAGTTTTTGAGAGATCGAGAAGTGGCGCTTCGCGGCAAAGGGCGCACCCGTGGTGGCCTAGCCGTGGTGCTCTGTCCATTTTCATGAAGAGCCCTGCCCTAGGTAGTTAGACGATAACATAAGCGTGCTGCTTTTTACTTTGTTATTTAATAGGATATCAATCAAAGCACGTTGTTGGCGCGGTGCTGGCTTTTGGGATTGACAAGCACTAACCAATTCTCCCTGATGGTTGGCTGGACTAGAGGCGGAAATTGACGGGCAGAATGGGGTTCCGTTTCGCGGCTCTAGGCCAATTCCCTTGATTTTTCTTCACCAATACGTTATTTACCACCTCTTTCAACTGCAACGGCGACCACTTCATTGCACCATCTCCCCAAGCAAGTAGAAAAGAAAGCACTACCGTATCAGGAAAGGTCATCCGACCTAATGAAATGAACTGTACATTTTTATGCGCATATGGGACGCTGAGCTCAAAGATGCTTTCGATCACTGCAAGATTGTTTGAGCTTGATTGTGAAAATGAAAAGTGCAGGGTAGTGGTCTGGGCTCACGAGCAAGAGGTCATGGGATCGGCTCCCTAGCGATTTTGCTCTTACGCCTTTCGCAACAACATGCCCGAAAAATTGTAAAGAAATATTTTGGAAATGTAAACCTCATTTCGATTGGCCAGCTTGAACCTAATAACCTTTCCTACATAGTCACTCAAATTCCTGAGTATCATACCGATAGCAATGACTGACAGTGAAGGTTTTTCATAGTGTGAAACGCTTTTTCAAACCAGGTTTTCTAGCAGGTTTTAAAAAAAATGATTGAAAAAATAACTTGAAGAAGGTGGATTTTACAGCTTTCGAGAGATGTTGTGGATCGAGTGGAAGAGAATCCAGCCGTCGTGAGTTGAGCATGGACCCCTTACTATTGGCGCTTGGGCATTTGTAGAACATTTGGCATGTCCAATCCAAAAATGCAAAAACTCTTGTCATCAACGGGCGTGAGTTGAATCTTGTGACATTTTACTTCAAAACTTTTTTGGCCCTCACAGGCGGCGCTCAGCGTAAAATGGACCTCGGCTCAGTGTAAGTTTGTTTTGTAGTCTACGTGATTTCCTTCAAAATGCCGGAAAGTGCTTTGAAAAAACGCCCCACATCCTGAAAACTTCCTTAGTTGACTAGGAAACCTGCACCTCTGTGAATGGTCCTTATATTGAGCCTTTGATGCAGTGAAAAGCCACAATATGAAATGGTGTTGTTGACAAATGGGCTACATCAAATTCGCGGCTATGGCAGACGATTCGTAAAGATATTAAGTCCAGAGAAAACAGGCAATGAAAAATAGGGTTTGCTTTAGCTATTCCCAATTACTGAGATGAGAATAAGGGCTCTCAGACATTCAGCAAATTCAAAACAATGGCATAAACAAATCTACACCTACCTTGTTCAGCCATTCAACTCGTTCTGTGTCCGGAAACTGAACCCACGCCGGCAGGTCTTGTAGCTGAGCCATTATCACTTCCCGTTCACGTGTCGCAGTTGCGCGTAACGCCAGCAACCTGTTTTGCAGAAATTATTAAGCATTCATCCAACCGTGAACAGTTTGAGTAACAAACTAAGTGGACCGATAATAATGACACACTCCCTGATGTGGATGTGTGAAGCCCTCCTAGGATGGGTATCTTAGAACTTTCACAGGAATGCGTACGCTGAGAGAGGGACGACAGGACAGAGGGACGAGGACGGGCCTTAGAGATCCGCAATAAAACAGCACATGTGGTGGTGACTTGGAACCCATCCCTCAAAATGAAATGGAGAACGGTAAGAATATGTTAATTTGTTCAATATCAGAAGAACCTAAGAAACTGTTACCCGACCAAATACTTCCCGTTGGAATTCCCCAACTTCTCTCTTCTTATAACCTCGGGACATTTGTAGATGTAAGTCGTCATTATTCGAATAAGCATGAGCATAAAGTGAGGGTCTATCGGTTTTTTTGCATCTACAGCCTGCAACTACAAATACGCGCGAGTGTAGGGTAAACACCAACTCTCGGGTGAAGATTGTTGAAACCCTAGCAAAATAATTTCTGAGAAGTTGATGATTTCAAGGTATGCCAACTCTAGTCGATGATTTCAGCAGAACAGATTTCACTCATAAAGGACATGCAAAACAAGTACATGTCGCAGGGGAGGGACAAAATTGCCGGGTACCCGACAAGGAGGCCCGTCGCGCGGCAAGAAGGCAAAGTCAGTGGACGAGTCGCAGCGCGTGATGTGCGATGTAGGACGTGCAATGGTACATTCTATTTAACTTGACGCGAAATCACTACAGTACGCGCTGCGACTCGTCCGCTGACCC